CAAAGTTTGTTGCATTGCCTGTACGAGCATACTTTTTGCCGTTGCCTTTTGACTTAGTAATGGAATTAGAGAAATATTGTTTTGTACCCACCATAGCTGGATCATTAAAATGAATTTCATGTTAAGACATGAATCATTTTAATGTTAAGGACAATTGTCGTTCCTGCATATGTTGATTAAGATCTTAATAGTTGTGGTAAGTCACAAAATAACATTTATATTCTAAATACTAATGATTCTATAATGAGTATAGAAATTATAAGGCATAAATGCGATAATCTAATTATTATCGAAATCTGGCATGACAGACTTTATCATATAGATGAAAAGTAATTCTAAAGTTACATAGAGATGTATTATTGGGATTAATTGATTTTGACAAGTACAAATTATGCATGTTTGGCACAATAACCAAATCTTCTTTTACTTGAAAAGAAGAAAGGTCAGCATAATTATTGATCTAATGCATAGTGATGCATATGGACTCGTGTCAATTAATGTTTCTCTTATTTCATCAATGATCATGTATACTTGATAAAAACTCAAACATGAAACTCTTGAAAGGTTCAAGAGATTCAAACTAGAAGTAGAGAAAAAGATAGGTAAAGATACCCTCACATTAATATTCGATCAAATGAGAGTATTTTAAAGATAAAATCTAGATTATCTAAGAAAGAATGAAATTATCTTACAGTGAACTTCTGCATATACACTGCAGCATAGTGGTGTATCTAAAAGGAGGAATCGTTAATTATTAGATATAATGCGATTAATAACAAGACATTCAAATCTCCCAAAATTGTTTTGGGGTCAGGCATTGATTGCAGTGTGCAACACACTAAATCATGTCCCATCTAAATTGGTTAACAAAACTCCATACGAATTATGGAAAGACAATAGTCCCAATTTATCTTATATGAAAGTTTGGGGCTGTGACGCTTATTTGAAGCGCCTTGAATCGGATAAGTTTGACGCTAAATCTAATAAATACGTATTTGTGGGGATATTCAAAGGAGACATTTAAATATAAATTCTATTATCATGAAGAAAGTCTTCGTCTCATGACATATCGTCCTTTTAGAGAAAATCTTTACTCTAAGGGAGGACAGTGGGAGCAAAATAGAACTTGAAAAAGTTCAAGAGTTCACAGATATAGTTAACCAAGTAGATAAATTCGAGTTCGATCCCATATCTGACATGGGACATACTCTTGATTGGGAAGTAAAGACTCCTGAGGGCATATCAACTCTATGTGAATCTAGTAGGATCATTCGACCTTCAAGAAGGTGCGAATCCATGATTACTAATCAGGTATTACTAATCCAGGATAATGAACCTGCTAGTTGTAAAAAAATAAAGTCAAGTGTTGACTTAAAAGAGAAAGCAAGAGGCCATGATACTTGAGATGAACTTGGTGTATGTGAACAAGGTTTGGACCTTGATCGAGCCTCTGATGGAATAAAATCCATAAGGTTTTGTAAATAGTTTACAAGGAAAAGGTCGATATGGATGGGAATATCTATATATACAAACTAAGACTAGAAGCAAAGGTTAAGTGTTGACTTTGGTGAAACCTTTCTCCTGTGGCCTTGCTAAAGTCCATTCGTGTTTTTCTTGCAACAGTTGCATATCGTAACTATAGGTTAAGATAAGTCTCTATGGAGCTGAAATCTTCAATTTGATGAGAAAGTCAAAGTGTTTGATTTTATCAAATTTGAAGACGAATTGTGTGTTTACAAGAAGATAGTGGGAGCATTGTCGTATTCCGAATATTATAGTAAACGACATCCCTATGTTTCAATCGTTGAAATAATGGTTGTTAAAAGATTTATTCATTAACGATATGGGAGTAGCAATTTGATCTATAGAGGTAGATCTAGAAGATTGTTTAACTCATCCCAATTTATATAGATGAAATCTTCAGAAGATTTCATATGGGAAACTGGTTTACCTTAAGAGGTATGTTGGAAAGGTTCCAAACATGAAGCAACCGTTGATTCAATAGTAAAAACCTAATACATGATTACTTCAGAAATAGTAAAGAGTTGAAAACTGGATCATGATGTTCATAAATGAACTTGGAGTAGTTTCTGATATTGTTGATCACATGCCATTATATTGTGATAACAATAGAACCATTGCGAAAGCGAAGGAACTAAAGTCTCATCAATGATCCAAACATGTATTAAGCCAGTATAATCTCATTAGAGAGATAATACATAGAAATGACGTAAAGAGAAGAACAAATTCCCACATTTAACAATATTGCAGATCCACTAACAAAGAGTTGTCGTTGCATAAACATGATAGTCATGTAGACTTATGATATTGGATACATAAGTGATTGGATCTAGTGCAAGTGGGAGTTTGTAAGTATTATGCCATAGGTCTAATCAACTTTGGACATAAATACTTTTGATATACAATTAATGCAATTTAATGGCAGATCTATTATTTAATTAATAAACAATTAAATAAATAATAGAGTCCGTAGATTCAAATCTTTGTAATTTGTTAATCACAAGGAGTTGTGATTGTGAGATACAAATTACATCTGATTGAATCTTATATCGTCCGTGGTCGTAAATAATAACGAGATATTGATATCGTTATTACGGATAGACCATCACGTGTATCATTTCTTACTTGTGAAGTAAGTAGCTGATCTCACAAGTTAAAGTATGGTGACACTTAAATAAACACGTGGATATTTTGTTATAGAACAAAACATTGAAGACTCGTCGAAATATTCCACATGGATAACTATCTGAGTGTTAGTGGTTAATCTCTAACGTTCGGTAGTGGAATTGGTCCTTTGACTTGAGGTCGTCATGGTACCTTATATGAGGACAGTCATACTTTAGCGGTGTTGGATGTTGCTCTGCAAAGAGCCGCTAATACGACATCGTTCGGGTACGTCAAGAATCGTATGAAGGTTGTGATTGATCAATAAAGGATTTGTCACTCTTAGATAGTAGGAGATTATGATCTGCGTTTCATTCAATCGTTGATGAAATCCTTGGCCAATGTGTACTCATAAATCGAAAAGGAGTTTTTGACTTATATTGACTTAATAGTGAAATGAAAGATATAATCGTTAATCGAGATTGATACACTTCCATATCTCGTAATTGATCGGATCATATTGACGAAGGGATTATAGTTTCACGGTAAACGAACGAGTTTGATTTTGTCATACCACATGACATTTCCCGTCACATGTATTGCCCTGATACATTGCTAGATATTAATAGGGCTGGACAAAACTCTCGAACCGAACCGACTGAACCGAACAGAACCGAACTCGACGGTTCTTCTCAAGTTAAATACCCGAACGGGTATTTGAATCAGGAACTGACGGGTATGGTTCGGTTCTCGATTCTAGGCCAAGATCCGAAAAATCGAATAAGAACCGAATCTCCGTAATTTTTTTAATTAATTTATTTTAGATAAGTAAAAATATTTTATTTTTTCTAAATAAATTTATTAACTAATTAATTTAGTTCAAACTACAAAATATGAGTTTCCAATTTCTAATATTCAGTTCAAAATCGACTTAATTAAATTGACCTCAATTTTATCCAAATCTGTTACTCTAATGTAGTGTCGTTTTTACCAGAGAAAATCAAATTAAAACTCTACAACATCTCTCTTAATTATTTTGAGCTCGCTATCTTTCTCTTTCTGTGATTTTAATAAACAAATTTATGAAGAATTCAGCAAAAATAGACGTGAAACGCATAAAATTGAACTACGTTATTTTGTAAGAGTTAATATTAAATATATCATTAATTAAATTAAAGTAACTTTGTATATATTAAAAAATTTAATTATAATAAGGGGCGGAACCGAACCGAATGGAACCGAATCTGAACGGTTCCACAATTAAATTTGGACCCAACAGTTCCACTTACTAAATACCCGAAAATTTTGGGTCGATTAAATTTGGACCCGACGATTCCACTTATTAAATACCCGAAAATTTCGGGTCGGTTCGGTTCTAACCGAACCGAACTGGACCATGTCCAGCCCTAGATGTTAATCTGGGACGGCTAGTGTGAATTGACGAAAAATTAAAAGGGTGTTTTAATTTATCAATTTTGATTAGATCAAAATAATATTTCACGTCGTTAGGCATAGTGATCGGGAACCTGATGGATCGCACACAAAAGAGAATTGAAAGATTGCAATTTATCAATTAATTAATTTAACAATCGTTGGATAAATTAATTAATTAGGTTGGTTATTTATAGGCCCGAATTAATTAATTGGATTAATTAATTCACGGACCGAATTTAATTAAATAGTTTAATTAAATATTGGACCGAACCGGGCTAGGCCCGTTTGGGCTTATATAAATACAAGGCTAGGGTTTTCAATCCATATGGTTTTCATTCTCATAATTATTCTTGTTAGCACAAGAGGAGAAAACTCTGGTAGCTGCAATTTTATTCTTTGTGTGGATCACCGTTGGAGGCTAGATAATTGAACAGTTGTGGGTAGCGAATCAAGATTGTTGGAACGAAAAGAAAAGCAAATGGTTTGCAAAATTCTTCAAAGGTACAATCTTTATCACGATTTCTATCTAAACACAAAGGGATTCTCGGTGGGAATCGAAATAATTTTAATTTTTCGCTGTGCATGTATAAGTAGATTCCCAACAAATTTACCAAATAAGAAATAACCCTACCAACTTTAATTTCATAGCAAAGCATTCGCATTTTTTTACATTGGAGTGTATTATAATTTATACATGTATATATTGAGCTGTGCTTGCGTAGTAAAATAGTGTATCTTTTACTCTTTTTCTTGTATTAAGCTGATATGAGTGGTCTGGATGCTGTAGGATGTGACCTGCAACTTTGTGAACAGTACTGCTCTAGTCAGGGATTGCCAAAATGATGCGAAGGTCCAGATTTCCCGTGTCTTTGCCAAGCAAATTGCCCACGTAATCGTATTATGAGCGGTCCTCCTGTGGTGAATGCAATAGGATATGACCCGCAACTTTGTCAAGCATACTGCGAAAGTCTGGGTTTGCCATGGTGCTGTTCAGGATTATTTGGCCCGTGTCTTGCCAAGGACCTTGCCCACGTATGTGAACATAAACTTAATGATATGTTACCTTACAGATTGAATCTGGCTTCCTTTTGTTTGCACTGAAATTTCCCCTCATTGATTGCAGTTGCAAACTCTGTTCCAACAAAAATTACTGAGGCGGCAATGGCAGGTGCAACAGACAAAGAACCCTTCATCAAGGAGATAGTAATCGCTTGATGCTTTTGTACAGCAGCAGAAGAATAAATTACTTATCTATCTATGAAGCTGGTTGAGTCAATAAACTTGTAGATCTATGTTTGGAGATCTCTGTTTAATTAAATAATCTGTAGTCTTTGTTTGGAGACTACATTATGGAAATGTAACCGTCTTTAATTACAAGAATTATGTTGTATATTTTAATAATTTTTGTTGTCTTCTTTAAGTTTTTATCAAATTCATATTTACACTAACATCAATACTATCTAAGTACCATATTTAGTCATGTTTAATTTAGTTATGTTTCGTCCAACTTTAAATGTGATTTAAAATCTAAATCAAAGTCAATTATTAATTATAACCATACGTTCCATTTGATCTATAACTTCTAAACTACACATTCTATCAACTTTGATAAAAAAAAAAAAAAATACTACTAAAATCTTATTTTTATCTAAACCGAACTTGAGCTTAATGTGATCCCCTATTGTAATATTTTGCTTTCATTTTATAATGTCACTGAACGTGGTTGGTTTTCAAAAAATAAAAATAAAAATTCAACTACATTATCTCAATCAAACATATGGAAACAGCATTTGCAACCTAGAGGTTTATTGAAATAACATTTGCTGCCCATAATTAGAAAGGCAGGTTTGGGAATAAACAATATCATTACTAATTAAAATCGACAATGAACTGTAAGAATTTTTAATTAAAGATGGGCTTGTATGTGTGAATAATTGTGTATTAAATTATAGGCTATCGAATTCGGTTGAGCCCAATTAAAGTGATCTAATATGATTTTAGTTTTGGGCTTTAATGTATCTAGTTTAAGTATGAGTTTACATATGTGTAGAGACCGGGCCCAAGTCCTAATTCTATAATGGGCCGAATTAAGTCAAAGGGCATTCCCATATAAATAGGTTATGGTCCCCAGATCACACGCAACAGATTATTGTTCATTCTCTACTGCATCCCATCACAGAGAGGAAAAGGAGACTGCGTGTAGATTTGGAAGATCATACCGCGAAATCCATATTGCATTAACTATGTCAGATTCAGGTATGCTTCCGCTTTAATTATTATATTTCTTGATGATTTAACATGAAAGATCCGGTATTTAAAGAATTAAATTATCCAACAAGTGGTATCAGAGCCACTTCATGTTGAATCATTGAGAATCAAATGTTTTAGTTTGGTTCTTGCAATATATTTTGTAATTTTCAAATTTAACAATTTTGGTTAAATATTTTGTTAAATTTGAAAATTTTTTACGGTATAATTCTTGCTATTTTCGTATGGATTTATTCAGTTTAAGAAAATTCAGATTTGGAATTTTGAATTTTTATAGTTTCGGATTAAGATTTAATTAAAAAAAAATCGAATTGCCGGCGACGGGTCTGCCGCCGGCGTCTGCAGCGGCTGCTGCGTTTTGCAGC